TAAGAGGTGCTGAAACTTTTATTAAAAATTTAGATGAACATTAACAACAGCAATAAATATGATAATGATGATGATGATAATAATAATAATTGTAATAATTATAATAGTAGTTGTTGGGAATGGTTTGTGCAGTACTCGCACTGCAGAGATTATTGCAATAAAGCAAGGAGTTGTAGGAATTAGTGAGCTCTTCATTATTATCATTCCTATGGCTCCTCAGTGTGCACTTGGAAAAAAACCTGAAACACTGTGAGAAGTTAATGTGAACACACTGCTGCCTTTCCCCAAAGGTTAATAATTCATCTCTGCACATGGGAAGTACCAGAAGGCCCTGATATGTGCTAAACTAAAGAATTTCACTTTAAATCTTATTTTCTTTCCAGAAAAGCCTCTTGATAAAAGCACACTGGCTAAACTGCAGTCTACATTATTTTCTCAGCTGAGTCACTGTGGTGAGACAAGGCAGAAGGAAAAATCCTGGAAGAATTCTTCGAAGGGGAAAAAATATTGAAAGTGAAAATAACAGAGAAGAAAAGTTTACAAAAAAAGAACCAACTGTCTCTGCCAGCACTGACCACACAACTTTGGCTGTTTACAAGAAGAGTTTAGGACCTTTCTGAGTTTTTCTGCAAGCTTAATTTAGCAGCTTCTTTTGTAGCTAAGGTGAAGTCAAAAGAGGTTACATGTAAGCTGAGGAAGCTCACTTGCAAAAATTCAGCAGCTTTTATGCAGTGATACCCCTTTTGGCATTTTAGCCTCATCACCCCTGAGGCCTGCCGGACACAGGACCATGAGTAAGCTCAAGATAAATTGAATAATTCACTATCCTCAACCTTAACCTTTCTAAGATCATGACTTGTCTTCTTCCCCCTATGCTCTCTGCATAAAGCAAATTAAGTCCATTTTTTTTAACATGGTGATATTTTTTCCCCAGCTAAATATGTGAATCCCTCCATTTGCTTTCACCAAAATGTATTTCAGAAATGTTCTCAGCTTGTTTAGCTGGATTTTTTTTTTTTTAATTAAAAAATGCCAGCAGAGATTCTCACAAACATGTGAGAATTTTAGAAAACAGAATAGTCTGAACTATGAGACATTGCCACATCATTCCTGGAATGACTTATACATATCCTCCACCACATCCTGAACCACTAAAGGATTTGACTGGCTTTTATTTTCCCTCTGAAGCTCTAAACATCAGGTTAAATGATTCTTATGCTGAATTCCATGTGCTTTTCCCCACTCATGGGAATAGGGAAGAGCATCCATGCCTGGAGATGAGCAAGATTTTGGGGCAGAATCCCTTGGATATTTGCTGTTCAGCCTTAGGATGGACTTTGCAAGACAAAAAGCTACATTTACCAAGAAGTTTAAAAGCATGAGGGAGAGTCAACCAGCTAAGCTCAGAAGGGCATGATAACAACAGAGCAGCTGATGGATATTAAAGGATTTATGACAAGGTTATGTAGCATAATAAAGGTGTTCAGTATAAATTTCTGTTTCTTTCTCATCTCTTATGTTTCCCCTAGCCCCAGCAGACAGCTGGCAATAAGTAGAGTATTTGATGCTTGCAAAGAAATCACACAAACTAGAAAAAATATTCAGGATGAACCAGGAAAAGCACAATCTAATTTTCTGTAAAAAACATTCCTTCTCCTACAATTAATATTGCACACAATTGCTCTTACTTGGTATAATTTGTTAGTTATAATTTGAATTATATCAGAAATTGCGCTTTTGGTTTTTGTTGTTGTTTTGTTTTTTTGTTTGTTTTAAGAATCTGTGAGACTTAAAATGGCCCAAAGTTGTAAAGCTAATACACTCAGGATTTGGGAATTACTTAAATCTGCAATCCTCCTTTTGGAATTGCTGAAACCTGAAGTGAAGTCTCTTTTCTAGTTAGGTAGTGTCACTTCATGTCACTCCTCGGAGCTGCACTCCTTCTGCAGTATAATCAGAAATACACAAAAAAAAAGGGGAATTGGAGTCAATGAAATCTGTTCAGGTTCCATTATAAATTCAAAACTAATGAAAATTTTCAATCTGCTGGGCAGAACTCAGCAGAGCTAAAACTGAGAAATCCATAACCTCAGTTCATTTCTAAAGAAATTTGATGGATTGAAGGCTTCAGCTCCTTCCTCTCTGCAAGTCTCTTCTGAAGAATCAAGTTACCATTTTCTCCTCTCAGGGACTTTTCTATTGCTAGCAATTCCTATTCAAACCTCTTCTATTGCTAGCAATTCCTATTCCTATTTTAATTTTTGCTTTCCAAAGCTCATGTCTTTTCCAGCCCCTAATTTCTGACTGAATTTTCAGTTTTTGTTCTGCCATGGTGATCTGATACCACTTCTTTGCACTTTGTTGCTGCAGTATTCTTAAGGCATGCTGCTAAAACTCTGTAGCTGAAGGTTTGTGAGTTGTGATTCTTTAATTTTTGCATTTCATAGCAATGAGACAGTGGTTTGTACATTCCAAAAGCATCAAACTCAATGCCCTGAGAGGCTGGAAGTAAGAGAAGAGCAGCTCTGCAACCTCCTGATGGAGCTTGGTGAGCTCCATGCTGAAATATGTCTGTAGTAACTGGGCTAATTCCTTCTTCTGTACAAAACTTGTGGGAGTCCAGAGCTTCCCTCTGGCTGCCCTGGAAGGTCTGGGACCCTGGCAGGGGGTCAGGAACCCCCTGGACAGAGCCCCCAGAGACACTGTCTGGGATCTCTGTCCATGGAAAAGAGTTTTCAATCTTACAGGATGAATTACAAGCTCTGAGTGTTTGATATGAGTAATAATTAAGTGTGGCATGGGTGCAAAAGTAAAATTTTAGGATTCTAGATTAGGGGTCCAAAGGGGACAAGATGGAGGAAATTGGGTGTGTCTTGTCCTTTTTCTCCTTCTTCATGCCCTCCAGGTTTCACTGTAGTGTTGGCATTTTTCTGTTGGTTCAGGCTGGGGACACACTGTCCAACGTAGGTGACAGATATTGGCACATTATTGTAAATCCAGCCCAGGGAGTTTCTGGTATTTAATGTTTGTAACATCCCACTGAGGGCAGAGCCCCACACGCTGCCCTGCAGGACAGAGCTGGGCAGGGCAGCAGAACATGTTAGAGATAAACAGAATAAACAACCCTGAAACCAGCACAGACCAATTATGGCTTCTGCTTTGGCAGCGGGGCAGAGAGACAGAGACTTTGTACAGTCTTGGAATCATCAATACCACAGATTTTGACAAAAACTGTCCCATTTTAACACCATTTGAAGCCCAGTGGCCAAAAGCAGCTGCATTGCATGGAGAAGCCTGCTCTGGCAGGCAGATAAAGAGGATGAACTGATGGATCTTCACAACATCACAAATCCCCAATTTCCTGACTCACAGATCCTCTTGCTTAATCAGTTCCATTCGTTTCAGCTGGGTTGCTATGAGGGGGCAGTTTTTGTGCAAAATAAAATCAACAGATGTGGCTGTACTGCACAGCACACAGCATGCAGGAGGAATCCCCCAGCAATATAAAATTGTCATTTAAAAATAAAATTAAAACAGGTAAAGCTGATAAAATTGTAAATGAACTTGCTGTCCAGCAAGTTAATAGTGGAGAACATAAAACATTGCAGTTCTGCTGTCCAGTGTCTCTAAGTTCTGGCATTACTCTTTGGAGAGAAATTACAGTTGCAAAAATGGATGTGGTATATAGGAAACTAATTGCTGACCACCCGTTTTCAGGAACGAAAATTAGGCAAGTGTATAAACAACTGTGATTTTAATGCAGAATAAACTGCTATATAATGTTCCTAATTTACATATATAAAATTTAATATATAGTGGTTGAGCAAGGTTTTTAGTATGGCAATTGTAGTACAGTAATCTATTGTACAATAGATCTGTTTTCTAACTTCCAGTGGAGAACTTTACTGGGAAAAAAATATTGGTATTTTCTTTAAGAAATGCACTATTTAATCCTTTGGATTTGGAAATTTCTTCAATATTCTAGACTACCCTTTTTCATTGCATATACAACAGTTCTATTTTTTATGAGTGTTGACAGAACAGCTGCATTTTGCTATTTCCACAGAAAGGAAAATATAAAGAATTTGGTTTTGTCTGTGGTTTTGGCTGAGAGCTGGATTCTAGTCTTTTTTTTTCCCCATGGAATTCTTGTTCCAACTGTGCTGGGTCTTCTGCACAAGTGAGTTTAGTGGCTGCTGCCGGGCAGTGAGTTTCTGGGATTTTTGCTTGAAAAACACACAGAATGCTTCCATTAAAAAAAAAATCAAATTATTCTGTTATAGTGATCACTGTCACGCTTAGTCACATTACTTAAACCTAATAGCATTGTCTGAGCTTTGCTCAGTGAATTGCAGGTCATAAATTCTTACTGTGCCATATAACTTTTTTACTGATGCCTGTGTTTAAAAAGGTAATGGGGATAAATAACCCAGCAAACATCATGAAAAGCAAGAAAGAACTCTTTCCTCACATTATCAATTTTACTGCTCTTTCTTTTAGGAAACATTTATTTCACTTATGTTCTATAAAAGGATTTAGAAAAGTAATCCAGTAAGAACATGAAAAACAAGAAACCTTTCCTTAGATTACCAACTTTGCTGCTCTTTTTCATATGAAACATTTGTTATGTTTGCCCATTTGTAAATCAAGATAATGACTGAAATGTGCTTTCAATATTTTTCACGTTGTTAAAAACATGAAAGTTCACCTTTGCATTCCTATCACATTTAACCTGACACAAGAATTCAAAATATTAAAGGATACTGCTTTGTTGGGAGTGTAAGTTATTTGGATGTTGGAAACCATCTAATAATTTTTACAATGCTTGTAAGATAAGAATGGCATCCAGTTTGAGCAGTTGTTTGGAGAAAGGTGGCAAATTTTGTCTCAGTGACATAAAATACTTTGGCACGAAGAAAAAACATCACTAATACTGCAAGGGAAAGAGGTAAATTGAAACCTATAACAGGAAAAAAGTTAATTTTCTCTGTATTTACTGCAGGTGCTGTGTTTGACAAGCCAGCCACTGGAAGATGTTCTTTCTGAGGTAATCCTTTCCTAACCTTGATTAGGGAAAATGGCGTGTCCTGCTCTGAATAAATATATTTAATTCCATCTCTGTGTCAAGCACAGGTCAGATGCTTTTAATAGGAGACAACAGAGAAATATAAAATGAACCCACAGCTTTACACTCTTAAATCTGCTTCTATCAGGCTGCCCTAAAAAATGAAGGTGCCCTAGATTGAACTGCTGAAGAGTTTAAGGCTTTTTGTCCCAATTCCATGTAGCTGAGGTCCTGGTCATGCATCCTTCATGACAAAGCAGCAGCAGCCCTCTCTTCATGAGGAGCTTTGCCCCATTTCTTTCCTTTGGTCCCACCCCAGCAGATCCAACAGATTTTGGGAGTGCTCACTTAATGTGACCTGCACTGCTTTAAATGCCAGACTGAAAAAGTCTTGCTAATATTGGCTAATTTTTACTCATCAGCCTTGAGGGGAAGGGGAAGAAAGGGAGGAAGGAAATTCCCCCTTGTTCAAGAACAGGAGGCTGTACTGACCCCCAGCAAGGGGCACTCCTAGAGCCCCACTTTACATGAAAATTGTTCTAAATGACAAATATTAAAGTATTGCCTGCATGCAGCAGTCATCACTAGTTTATCCTGGACCCTTCCCTTCCCTTCTGTTTTTAGGGCTGGAAAGCTTTTTCAGATGGCAAACCCCACCCCCTCCACACCCCACCTCCTCCCCTATTTTGGAGCTAAATTGTAGGAGAAAAATAAAGACCAAAGAGGTGGAATTACCCAAGTGGCATAAAGAGATAAAGATAGGTGTAAAAATTAAATTCTCAGAGTCACAGCTCAGTATCTTAACCATTCCTTGTTGCAGCATTTTTAAATTTTCCTGACTGTACAGATCCTTTTACCAGGCAACTTCTATGGAATAAACAAATGTCATTTCCACTGGCATCAAAAACAAGTGTCTAGCCCAAGGAAACATAATGGACTTGACAAAAACTATTCCCTATGTCAGGGACAGAGTTGCAGTAGGAAAGTATTTCACCTCAAAATTTGTAGCATTACTTTTGTTCAGTCCAAATATCCTTAGATTCATGTAAATTATGATTTCTCATGCAGACTTTAGAGAAACAAAGAACTGTAATTATTTTGAACTATTTATTTTACTCTTATAGGTAAAAAAGTAATTTCTAGCTGGTAAGACCTTTTGTTTTATAGTGTTCTCATCATGTTTTTCACCATGAGAGAATGCCAGTACAATTCATGGAATTAATCTGGAAACCTATTTGTCTTTATTTTCTTTCAATATTACAGCTTTGAGTTCTTTTAGTTTGTCAATATTACCTCATTTCTGAAAGTACAGGGAAATATTTTTGAAGTACTGTAGATGTTTAATTGTTCATTCACTATGCACTATACATTAATATGTAATAGTGGCCACGGATTTTTATGACAGGAAACATTTTCCAAAAGATGCCTTTTCTACTTATCTTTATAACTTCTTGCAAAAGCAAACTAAAATGAAAATAAAGTGTGTATGTGAGACACAAATTTCAGTGTAATTTGATATTTTCTGGTCCATGGTAAGTAGGTGAATTAATTTGCTTTCACAACATCATTTTGAACAATATTTTGGTATGAACAAAATTATCTCGTCTAAACCTGTGTGCTACCACGTTCAAAATGCTTTCAATGTTTACCCAATCTTGTACATTTTTATTTTATACTGCAATTTAAAAGATAGATCAGCCTTCTGCCTCACCCAAACAGGGCATATTTATTATCCAGAACTTTGCAAGTTCCAGTTGTTTTCCAGAGACATTTCAGTGACACTACTATAAAGAAAAAAGGGAATAAAGATGTGCACTCATTAAGCAATAGTCAGCTTACAAATTAAATTTCTGCCTTTTAGAGTTACGTGAAGAAATAAAATTCAAGTCTGCAGAGTAAATTAAGAACTTCATCTTATTTTGGCAGACATATTTCTGCATGCTCATATGAATTTTTTCCTTATTATGTATTGTAACAGAGGAAGCACTGGAGAAGTTTCCTGTGCTTACAGTTTCAGTCTTTTTCTAACTTTAGAAGTTCTATAAAGCATGAGCTATAAATTGTAGAGAGCTGGTAAATGATTCAAAGCACTTAAGGTAATTATTGCTCTTGTGTCACAGAATAGTTAGTAACACCCAACATTAGTTTGTTACCAAGTATCAAAAGTGGTTAATCCCTTATACTTTTCCCTTTCCTCCTTATAAACTGCACATGTATTTCCTTATAAACTCTGTCAGCTGATAAGTAACCAAATATTGACCACATTTTGGGTTCAAGTTTCATTTCCATGAAATTTGACTTCTTATTTGTCATGAGGAAAGCATAATTGTGTACATAGGGGACAGCTACATATGCAATATATTTTTTTATTCCAGCAAGCATAACATATTTTATTATAGTAAGTCAGACACACAGACTTTGTACCAAAAATGAATGGACCCCTCTATTTTGTTTTTCAGGAAGTTATTTTACCTTCAAGTGCATGGGAATGTGGCATATTTGCACAAAGTACAAGGAAGGAAGCAAAGAGACAAAAAAAATCTCATAGTATGTTGTCGGAATCTGAGGTATTGATGATTCCAAGACTGTAAAAAGTCTGTCTCTCAGCCCCGCTGCCAAAGCAGAAGCCATAATTGGTCTGTGCTGGTTTCAGGGTTGTTTATTCTGTTTATCTCTAACATGTTCTGCTGCCCTGCCCAGCTCTGTCCTGCAGGGCAGCGTGTGAGGCTCTGCCCTCAGTGGGATGTTACAAACATTAAATACCAGAAACTCCCTGGGCTGGATTTACAATAA